GGGGTAACCGCTGGGATATTCTTGGCTTCAATTTTACTAAAAGAGATGCGCTATCTAGTGTATATAAGATATCTATGGCATTGACCCATATTTCATCGTTAGTAAGCGTTTGAGCGCAGTGTCTAATTCTGGCCTACTGATCAAATATTAGATCAGTCGGTTCTCCCCACCAAATCTGCCCCATTTTCGCAATGCAAAGGCAGCATAAAATGGCATGAAATGAAAACTCAAAACTTGGTTTCAGTGTGAAAAATGTAAATATTAATATCCTATCTATGCATAATATCATATATAAATATAATATCCTATAATATCCTATCTATGCATGGCATCTTCCGTCTAAGCAAAAACTGATCTTCTTTGTAAATATTTACTCCCAGTGTTTGTTTCTTCAAACCGATGGACAAATCTTTCTTAAGATTTTTATCAAATATTCACATATCTGGCAAATTGACAGCTTCTGACAAAATCTTAAATCTACACTGACAAAATCTTAAGTCGTTTCTACGTTGAAATTTATCGTCGAAATTTATCTGCGTTATTTTATTTATTATATGCGTTCTCATCGTTTCCATTGAATTAATTTAAAGTTCAGATTTGACTTCCACTACCGCTACTATTAAGGGACCATCAACAAATCAATCAATCAATCAATTGATTTATTTGAGGCACGTTACATGCTTACTGACTAAATTAAATTTTTATGAATTATAAATTAATTTATATGTTTTTGTACGATTTAAATATTGACAATTAATATTGTAAATAATTGTAATTTAGATGCAGGACCCGACTGAAAAACATGTAAGTGATGTGTGGGTATCCTGGATAAATATTATCCTATTATCAGATATATGCGTTTGATATATTTGATTATTATTTATTTAAAAAATTCCTGGTTTCTGATTGGCTATAAACAGCCAACTGTGAAATTGTCATATCAACTCAATGGCTAACCAAATACGGATTTCTCACATTCATATTAGCAAAATGACGTCAAAGAGTCCATATGAAAAAAAATTGGACGCGTTTGCGCCATATTACTATGACGACGAGAATCATATTGACTCGCTGACGCCATTGATATGACGCAACGACGGCTGCCGAAGGACTAAGGAATTGTTTTTTCTTAATACAAATAAAATACAAATGTTTGTTTTGAATTTTTTAAATAAACAATAAAACAATTATTGAATTCGGTTTTCGCACAATATGAATAATTATCAAGCCCTCAGTTT